GTTTTTTTTTTCTTTTTTCTTTCAGAATGTTGTTATTATTCAATGAATCACAATCATACAATGTAATTATTTGGTATATTGTTAGTTCAAGAATTGATTTTGTGTATTCTTTTTAGAATGTATTTAGTAGTTTATGGTTGGCATTCTATCATTCTGACAGAATAAAATCGAAAAATATATTTACTACGTTATGGTTACCATTCTAACATTCTGACAGAATAAAATTGAATTTTTAATTTTGAATTATTTTAAAATGTTCAGATTTTTAAAAATAAAGGAATTAATTATCCCTAAAAATCCGAAAATTTCCTTTTTTAATATAGGTTAATTGACTAAAATGCCCTTATACTGAAATTTGTGTGATTATATGGTATATGTTATCCTATTCTACTATCATAGATCCTCAGATCATGACCTTTGATTATATTCCATCCGATGGTCCAGATCTGTGCATTCTGGCACACAATAGTTACTAAAAACAAAATAAGCTAACCCTATATATATATATATATATATATATATATATATATATATATATATATATATATATATATATATATATATATATATATATATATATATATATATATATATATATATATATATTAAATGCTATTTAGCTAAGAAGATGTGGAATCGGGTGAAGGTGTAGGTGGATAGTGATGTCCTAGATTTCGAGTCTGCCGTTAGCATGACTTAGTGGATTAATGCCCGTTCTGTAGTTCACTAACAAATGGTTATTGACGTAATTTTCTCCACAGTCATTTGGGTGCTTTAGGGGTATCAGAATACACTGTTTTTTTGTCAACAAATTGTTAGAAGCAACTTTTATTTAATAACATTGTTATTGATTCCTATAATTAGTTTATTTTTAGAAACACTATCGCTTTTAAGAAATAAAGTTTATGGATGTATCATCAATAATGCCATAATTTGTATTGTTTTTTTTCTAGTGTCTAGCTAGCTTTCGTTTCTAATATATATGGCCACCGTACAAAAAAATACAATAATAATATTGAATTGAATTTTAAAAAAACATAATTAATAAAAGATTAAAAGAATAATTTTATTAATAAAAATAAAATCCTATAATACGCATAAAAATACCAGCATCTTACTACTGTTCCATATAGCATCTATAATATAAAAAAAAGGGTCCTCGAAATAGTAAAAAAATAAAACATGTCCAAAAACGTACACAACATATTTGTTTTGACATGTTCAATTGATACTAGACGTTTCCAACGTATCTACATAGTACAAAATTCAAATAAACCGACTCAATTGAAAAGAAAATCCTATATAATACGCATATAAATAACAACATATTACTGTTGTTCCATATAGCTTGAATAAAATACAAAAAAAAAAAAAAAAAAAAAAAAAGGGTCCTCGAAATAGTAATAAAACATGTCCAAAAAAGTATACAGTCAATTTGTTTCTACATGTCCGATTGATAGATGTTTCCAACCCATTTACATAGTACAAAATTGTAATAAACCGACTCAATGAACTAACCTTTCTTTAGGGTAAAATATATAAAAAATCATTATTTGATGGTTTTATAATTTTAGCATTTATATTTTGTCTGTTTTATTAAATCCACCCTATTTTGGAAATAAAAGATTATCACAGCCATTGTGATTCTCTATTGTGGTTTCATTGGCTATTATTATGATAAGGACAAAATGTGGTTACTTATAATATTATACCCAATTTGATGAATACTATTATTGTTATGAAGTTTGGTGTTACTTATAATATTATATTAAATTTGATGAAATAATATTAATAACAATAATAAATTTCGTGTAAAAGTTTCAATTTTATTTGTGGTGCATCATGTTAATTTTAGTCATATTTGGTTTATTTATTTTTGTTGTTTAAGTTTGAGATTACATAGTTTATGTTATTTTAATTATATAGTTACATCTTACATGTTTAATGTAATAAGTTTTTCTAACATCTGTGATAATATCTTATATTAAAAATATGTTATAAATATAACTTTTTATCTAACAATATGGTTGTTTCTATAATATATTAATGAATTTAAAATAGATCTAATTATGTAAAAATTATTTGTTTGGCTATGTTATGTAATAATATAATTTTGAAATTGTTGTAACAAAGAGATATAACACAAAACTAAAGAATGAAATAAACTAATATATATATATATATATATATATATATATATATATATATATATATATATATATATATATCGAACCGTTCAATGGGGCCCATTAATATGGTCAAATCGAAATACATTACTAGTCTTTTGGGTGTGTAAGGTGTTAAGTCTAAAGACTTGAGCAAATGTGCTTTGGTGAACAAATGTGCATAACAAAATTGCTCTTGGTGAGCAAATGTAATCTTATATAGTAAGGGCACTAGAGGTATCAAGATCCACTCTTGGCTCATCAGGATGTACCACTATGCTAGATGTGCTCCTGGTTATCAAGATGCCCCCACCTTGATCAAGATGTGCCCCCTT